AAAAAGTCCTTTGGTATAGAGGAATTTCAGGAGTAGCCTAAAACTCCATCTTCTCACTGCTAAGCCCCGCCTTCTTCTGGCAGTGTTACATTCCTTACCCCTGTTTTTGCCTCTCTTTCTAAGCTCCGAACTAAGCTCTAAGAAAAAAAGAAAAAAAATGTTTAAAGGTTACAAAACATTTAATCCATAAATACAAAAAATGGAAGAAGTATAGAGGAGGAATGAAAAAAAAGACCAGTTCAGTTTAAAAGTAAGGCATTTGTAAAAAGTCAATTCATAGAAAACAAACAAAGTTAAAGTGAAAAAGATAACACGATAGTTTTAAACCAGAGTTAATTCGCCACTTCCTTCCTTCTGTCTTCAATTTTATTTTAACTAAGTCTTTTGGGTTTTCTCTTCTCTAATAATAAGGATTTTTCTCACCATTTCGAAACACTGTCTCTCCTGTTCTGCTTCTGTTTCAGGGGACTATCCCAACTTTCTGCAGCCATTTTGACTGCTTCTCCTGTAGCCAGCAAAAAGAGCTTTCTCCTGGATCGATCAGGGACTTTGCAATGTCCCTGAGATCAGCAGGACATGCTCTTCTTTATCACTGTTACTTTAGAATGGTTTAGGTCCAAAAAGGACTGTCCAGCAACAGAGAGATCCACAGCAATCCCGGAGCCCCAGATTGCATGTCATGTCATCGTGACATCAAGCCTTGCCCTCAATCGGAAAATCAATTTTAAATTGGAATTATGTAGGCTGGAACAGAATTGATCAGCAGTGATAATGTCATCAGAAGCTTATTTTAACCTTCACCTCAGTGGTGTTCCTTACTTTTCCCAAGTTATTTAAATGGTAATAATCTTGTTTCTGGAGAAAGGTTGTGAGAAGAGTCACTATTTGTACTAAACCATTATATTATTAACCATGACTTGTCATTAAGCTACAAATGGCACTGATTACCTGTTCCGTATCATAAACTATGATTTGTAAATCACAGTAGCTAGATTTATTGGATGCTAAACCAGAACCAAAAAAACCACATGGTGACAACATAAAATATAAATGTAGTCACTATTGTAGTAAAAAAAAAGTATGATACCCAATTTGCAATCACTCTAGATAGCTATTATGACAGCAAGAAAGTATTTTTGCAATAGTGATGAACATCTGTAGCTCGAGTGCAGGATGAGGGTGGTGGTTCGTTCTCCGAGTTTGTTGATTAGTTTCTGAATATTTCATTACCAAGCTAGGTAACATCGTCAGTGGAGTTTAGGGGATGTCAGTGTCAATGTTCTTCTGTTTATAAGGGCTTCAGGTATTGGATTTGTAGGTTGGTGTCCCCTCTCCTCAGAATCCAAATTATCTGCACAGCAACCAGAGACAACACTGACCCTCAACTAACCAACGCAACCCCCCACCAGCAATTCACCCCCCAATGACCCTGACCTAATGTAATCTCCTTATCACAAGACCAATCACAAGACTCACCAATGACTCACAGATGATCCTTAATAAGACCGTCAAAGATCCACACTTCACACACCTACACTTGAAGCCTTTATAAACAGAAGAACACTGACACTTCCTAAATTCTGCTGAAGATGTTACCTAGCTTGGTAATTAAACATTTGGAAATGGGTCTAGGACTGTTCTCCTTGTACTCTTCACCACCCCTTGTTCGCCCCCCAGGGTTCCACCCCAGCCATTGACCTCTACTATTTCACCTCCACTGAAAAGATTCTAGCTGTTCGCCCTGAGCAATGGGACCCAGCCTCTTCTGTCCCAGAACCTTCCTCATGGGCCATTCGGTGAAGTACTACTCACCACAGACTTTTGGGCTCAGGAGAGAGTTAGCGGCCAGCCAATCGGAGGAAGGGAAGGGAGAAAGAGAGAGGGAAGGAGAAAGTGTTCCATATTGATTTTCCTCTCTGGGGTTTGTTTCTCCACCGTCGTCTCAGTCCAAGCTAGAAAACTGTTTGCATCCCCCCCAAAAAAAACGTGACATGACAACACAACTTTGAAAAGACAGGAGGTTTGTTGGCTCCGTTACTTTGATTCAATCAATTATCATTATCTTTCCCAACAGCTCTGCACCACCACACCCCAACCCATTTGTATTTAACTTTCCTGTGGCTCTTGTGTTGTACTGTTACATTTCACGGGGGGAAGGGATGCAAATGGCTTTCAAGCAAATGTGGTGGGAATCCAAAGGGTTTTCAAGCAAGTGTGGGGGGGAAATACAACCTTCACACCCCAACCCAGTTGTGCTTAATTTTCCAGTGGCCCTTGTGTTGTCCTGTCACATTTGGGGGGGGGAGAATGCAAATAGTTTTTGCACCGAGGTGACAGGCCAGAGAAACAAACCCCAGAGTGGATTCCCCCCCACTTCCTTGAAAACCATTTAGATTCCCCCCCCAATTTGCTTGAAAACTATTTGGATCCCCCCACTTCTTGAAAATTGTTTTNTAATTAAGATCATGTTGCATATTGTAATTTTGGGGGTTTTGCTTTACCTTCAGTGTTAGATCGGGTGAATGGATGAGACAGACTCAGACTTCAGTGACAAACAACAGGTCTTTATTAGACAACTATTTACTAATCCAGCACCCGCCTGTCTGACAGTTAGCCCTTTTATAGGGAGCTCTCAGATGTCTTGGCCAATCGGCTTGGAGTATTTTCCCACCGGATTGGAGGACCTTGGTGGAGCCTACCATTTGGCTGTCAGTATGTAACATTCAGCCTGTGTCTTAAATGGATTACTTATAACTTGTCATTTACATGGACACCTTTAGAGAAAAAAAAATCCTGGTAGTTGGGGGGAAACTACACAATGATTTTCAGTAGGCTACATCTTTCAAATTTAATATCAATTTACACTAGAGTACAGAATCTGTGGAAACCTTTTTTATTATTATTAAACTTCTATGCCATGTATCTCACTGAGGCGAGTCAAGATGGCTCACTGGCATATAATTAAGATACCATATAAAACATTAAAACAAATAAGAACCATACATTTAAACTCAGCTGAAATTTCAATTTACCAAGATGGAGAGGAAGGGAGCAAAATGTACATGGAGAAGAGATAGAGGTTGGCTAATCCATTAATTACCTCAAGATACCATTCCCCCATTGGCGCCCCAAGTCAGCTGGCAGAGCCAGGTCTTCAAGCTCGTTTTGAAGGCCAGAAGGGTGGCTCTGGAAGATTTACATTTCAACATACTTGTAGGAAACCAACTTGAAGAAGACTAGAAACTTGGTGGTAACTATTTGAGTGAGGTTTATACTAACAGAAGTTGTATTCCCATGTAACAAAAAACTATTGTTTAGTATCCAGTGGATAAGGCTCAGAGAACCTTGCTTATATGAATCCTCTCATACCAGGATCAGGTTCAGAGCCACAAAGTCCATCAATAATTGTAAATAGATGTTTCTTAGTAATAGAATACCTTGGAGGTCCTTCTAGTTCAACCCCATATTCTAGCAGGAGTCCCTATACCAGAGGTGGTATTCAGCAGGTTCTGACCAGTTCTGGAGAACCAGTAGTGAAACTTTTGAGTAGTTCAGCGAACTGGTAAATACCACCTCTGACTGGTCCCACCTCCATCTATTCTCTGCTTCCAGAGTCCCAGCTGATCAGGAGGAAAAGGGGATTTTACAGTATCCTTCCCTTGCCATGCCCACCAAGCCACACCCATCAAGCCATGCCACACCCATCAAACCACACCCACAGAACCAGTAGTAAAAATATTTGAATCCCACCAGTAACATGGTACTTCTATTTACATTTACTAATGTAAAGCATGTTTCATCTAATTTCTTCCATATAACTACTATTTTTTCATGTATGAGAATCTTCTGATTGATATCTTGGCTTTTACTGTTTGGCTTCTTATTTCCCCCCTTATGTCTAACATGTTGGACAACAATCTTATTAAGCTGAAATACTGCAAAATATTTTTGCAAAGCTTACAGATAATATTTTTGCCAAATATCATGGACATAGATTACTGCTATATTATCATGTTAATTACTGGTATACCAATGATCAAACCTTATTCTTCTCCTTTCAGGCTATGGCAACTTGAGCCCCAATACGGTGGCTTCACAAGTATTCTGCATCTTCTTTGCCCTCTTTGGGATTCCCTTAAACCTCATTCTTCTGAATAGGATAGGACAGCTGATGCTCTCTGGGGTGCATCTATGTACCTTCTATCTGGATGTGAAGTTCCAGTGGCAGGTAAGAGATCTGGGTATTCTTATGTGTTTGTTTATTTAATCTAAGCCACCCATTTCACAAGCAAGAAATTCTGAGCATTTTACAACAAGAATAAAACAATAAATTCTTGTGGGTCACTTTGGCCATCCTGGACAATTTACTCATGCCATTTTCTGAAAAAAGCAAGAATGTCCATGAAAATACCACTGACTTAACTGGTTTAACTTAAATTTGTTGTAGAGCTATGGTGGAGCAACAAAAGCTATCTAAATAATCATATCATTCCGTTGTGTTCTTCCTCTTAATAAAGCCTTCAAATTTCAGATGTAAATCTTTACTTGTCTTCATGTTTAAATGGCCTATTTTAATGTGTTTACTTGAAACAAATTTCTATTGAATTAAATTAGGCTCACTTATCTCTCTATATATGTTTGTTTAGGTTTATAGACCTAGCAAGCCTCAGGGAGTTTCTGGATCTGCAATCCTAAACAGCAGGAAGACCATAACAAACTTTGTGTAAGAGAGAGATGAATAAGCATAATAAATGCACACTTTAAAAAAGTGTTTTAAGCCTTGGGAGTACGTTTTTAAATGAAGAATAAGAAGAGACTTTGTAGACTGTTTCCACAATAGCCAGTTGCATGCCCCTAGGGAGTTCATAACAAGGGCATGAGGGCAAAAACATCCTTTAACTCATGTTTCACTAGCTATAAGAGTGGAGCAGAGATGGGGAAATATTTTTTTCTTTCTAGATACTTCAGAACATTTTGGAGTTGCTGTTATATTGCAGTGATTAACCAATTTGCAAAACTTGTTGGTTTTATGCAGAAATGCCCCATTTAAAGAGTAAAATGTATTTGGTAAGGCAAAAAAGAAGCCTCACCAAAATATAATACAAGCATTTGGCTATAATTTCACAGACAAATAACTCAGTATTAAAACAGTAGGTTTTGCTTTCGGTTTTCTGTCTTCCGTCAGCAAAAAGTTGGTTCGTCGTCACTTGCCTTTTCCCTTCTATGTTTTGTTCTTATATTATGTCTGCACAAGCCTCACATTCCTCAGGTTATCTACCACTATCTCTGGTTCCAAGTATCCAGAAAATATGACGCACATACACACTCCTGTTCCCTCCCTGAATATAGCAATGGTAAAATAGCATTTTTAGTATTTTTGAAAAATTGTGCAAGTCTAGGCTTTGCTTGGGACTGGCTATTGCATCAACATCAGCTTCTACAGAGAAATCGCAGTTACATCCCAATTTCAAGCTTTTTCTCTGCATCAATGACTGCCTCTGGTTGGTAGGAATCATAATCCAGAACTTTAACATTTACAAATGCTTAGTGAAAATGTATTAAGTTGATGGAAAACATGCTTTGGATGATTCTTCCCAACTTACAAATGTGTAGACATTTGTGGGGTCAGAAAAATTCCAGAAGGATCCTCTTACCCTGATGGAGAAAGAAATGGACCATGTGTACCTATCCAGTTTTGATGCTAAATGTGGTTTTGCTAATGCAAGTGGAAGCTAGAGAATTTAAAACATTTTTGCTGTAAAACTGGTGGTATCTCATTTGTGAGAATTCTCTTTTAATGCATTCTTGTGGCCATATCTTATTAATCATCTTCTTTTAAACTTATCTTAAGCAGCTTTCAATTTTTTCTGGAAAACTTTGAGAAGAAGAATGTTCTGCTTCTTGTCTGTAAAGTTAAGGTTACTGAGTCAAAAGCTGATCAAATCCAAACCTAGAAAAATTGAAGGTATCAAAGGGCTTCTTTTAAACCGAGACAATGCATCACCAGCCCTTCTTCATAAGTAACCCAAATAGTCCCAGAAATCATGGGAACACAGGCAAAAGGTTGCTCTGCTGACACGAGAACATAGCTTTATGAGGAAGGCTGTATGTTAACTTTTTCACATGACAGGTTTTAGAGCAAGGCTGTCAAACTCCCAAACTCCAGATGCATTACTTGCTGGCCACACCCTATGCCCAGGTAGCAAAGGGGGGGGGCAGTCCTGATATGTCATGTGATACTGTGATGACAACATAAGTTTGATACCCCTGTTTTAGAGGAATCATTCAAGGGCCTTCCCAAATGCTCTGATGTTTTTAGCAGAAAGATACTCAGACCCAGAAAGTTTAATTATTTTGCAACATTTTTGTCATTATAGTCATTATGATCTTTGTAGCCCAGGTAGGCAGCCCTATGTAGGCTAAATATTAGATACTCTGAAAATCTGATTGAGTCTTGAGTTCATATCAGATCTAAAGCCAAGGTCCAGGGTATCCTAATAAGTCTAAATATATAAAGTAAGCAATGAAGGTCAGGGCAATTTGCCTCTTCCTGTTCTGTCCCTCTTTCCCATGGATTCTTGATCTTTCACAATGTGTGAAACTGAAATCTATGGACTGATGGTGGTTTACTCAGCAGATTCAAATCAAAGTCTAATATTTGCATGAATAAACCAACAGCAATCACTTTCCTGTTTCGGCCAGCATGTGAAACTGATTGTACAAGCCTAGGAAAACTGACCTGCAAGGATAAAAACTATCAGTACTATACTTAATTCACATCTCCATTTTAGCTGATCTAAATAATCACTTAGGAAATTGGAATGCTGCATTTAAAAAAAAGATCAGTAAGTTCAGATGGTACACATTGAATTGAATCAAAATGTTCTTTGGCCCATACTGCTAAATACAGTATTATGCAAGGACTCTAATGCAATGCGTCTTTCTCTTCCAAATGTCTGCCAAATCTGTTCAGGAAAAGTTTCCCTGGAAGAAAGAAAATTTCAGCAATATACTGAGTGATCAGAGAAGAATGAATCTGTCCTGAATCATTCTTCTCTGTCAACAGAAAGCAGATTTGTCTCTTGACCTCCTCAGAAATTTAATAGGATTACATGCCTGGCCTGCAGATTCATTCAATGCACATTTTTCCAGTATCTTCTTTAATGAAAGATGTAATCTATATCCTACTTCTTGTCTGATCTCACCTATATTTTTTGTTTCTTTATTGCTTGCTAGAAGGGAGCAGTTGCCTTGACCTGGACCTGTGCCCTGGGTGCTGGCCTTTTATTATTTCTTTTGTTACCACCTTTGTTGTTTACTGCCATAGAAGGCTGGACTTATGAAGAAGGGTTCTACTATTCCTTCATAACTTTAAGTACAATAGGCTTTGGAGATTATGTCATCGGTAAGTATCTTATACCAATTAAAACTTCATTTGTTTGAGGGGTGGAGTAGGGGGTAGATGTACAAGTTCCCTAGTAACTCAAAAGAAAACATGGTCATGGACAAAAGCATGCCTTCTCAAGTTTATGTTCAGTAAATAAAATCAAAGTTCATTCTATTTTAAGGCTGTGCAAACATTTGCTTCTTTATCAATGAAAAGGAATGGCCTTCTTGAATGTGACATTCTCAAAAGCAAAGGATCCTTTATGTGCTTGTTTACACAGGTCACCAAGGAGATAATGTTTTTCACTTCATTTTTCCAGATAAGTTGCTTGGTGGAGGTACCTTCCTTTCTGAGGGAAGTTCTTGATTCTTTGGTCAGTTGTGGGAAAACAAGTGCCTTCCTCATGCAACAGGAGATACATTGCTTAAAAGAATTCTGATATGTGAGGTGTTTTAAGTTGATTCAATTTGGGATGCATTTATGTTGATAGCAAAGCAGTTTGGTTTAATGGGGGTTTAAATTGGAAGGTATGCATAATATTCTAGAATGTGGACTTGGTTGGTAGCCATTTTTATTCCAGCCTAATAGCAATTATACAATCAAAACTAATATAGATAGTTGCATCTTCATGAGACAAGTAAAACATAGTAAGTGCTGCATGGAAATCTCATTTATCAGACTCCTCTAAAAGCACGTTTAACTTTTATTCTCATTTTCACAACTGTGTGGAAAAAAACATTCTTTTTTTAATAACATTTTTATTTTCAAACAAGCACAAATACACAAAACATATGACATAAAAACCTCTTCAACTGCATACCGTGTTTCGATTGGTTACAAGGTCTTTCTGCATCCTTTCCATAGTCATCACTTGAGCTTTATCAAAAATCACATATTGTCAATCAAATATCTTTGTATACATTATTATTATAATTCATTTGTTTGATTATCACTATTGTTTCTCCATTTTAAACAAGGTATTCTAAATATGTATCCATTTATATTATGATTTATTAAATCATCTTCAACATATCCAATAATAAAGAATTTTTTATATCCTATTCTGTCATTCTATATCTTAGCATTGATAACATTCTCTAATAATTTTCAATTCCATGTTTTTTCCATTATTAGTATCATCAAATTGTATACAAATTGTTATAATTG